ACGAGCTTTCCCCCTCGGGCCCTGCCCTCCCTCTGCCCCAGGGCCCGTGGCCCCGCCGGTTCAATGACAAGACATCCGTTCCCCAAACACCACGGCTCCTGATACAAGTCAGCTCCCTACCCAGCCCCCTGCCCACAGGAGACACACCTCTTGCAACAGGGCCCTCCAGGTGGAAGCTACAGAGCCCCCCCAGAGCAGGCCCGACGTGCCGGCCCACCTCCCAAACCAGCTGGGTCCGGAATTCCAGGCGCAGGCTCTGGGCACCGTCCAGCCCCTTCCACAGGTCCCATGCTGTCTTCTGCCAACTCCGTTCCAGCCCTTGGGGAATGCTGCTGGGTGAGACCAAAGCCCTGCCCTCCAGACGCAAATTGGACAGGACCCAGCCAGGCTGCCCCTACTGCCTGGAAGGTCAGGCACTTCCATATCCACGGAACTGGCACAACCCTCCTGGCACCACCGGCTGGGGTTCCCTTTGCAAGGCAGGCGGGCACCCGGGCTGGGCCTGGCACCGGCTGGCTCCGGCACCTGGCCAGACCAGTGACCGCCACAACAGAGGGAGCTGACCTCACCAGCCTCACGTGCCACCTGCCGGGTACTGCCCACGGAGCAGGGAGCCGGATCCACGCAGAGCTGCCCGTGCACCCCGGGGAGCAATGGGACCTCTGAGGGGACTGTCCTAGTGATGCCCCTTCCAGCCAAGCATCCCTGGCTCAGGACTCAACCTCCCGCTGCCCTCCCCCCAAGAGGCCCCCCCCTCACTGCTCCTATCCCTGCCGTTCACAGCCTGGCTCCCCTGGGGGAAGCAGTTATTGAAAACGGTCCATCAGATTCAATAAGGATTCAAAGTCCCTCAGAGAATAGAGGGTGGGCGGGGAGTGGGGGTGGGAGGAAAGGAGGGGTGCCAGAGGGAAGGAGCCACCCACTCCTCCCCTGCCTTTCCCTCAAGGCCTCCTGCAACAGCTGGGCTGGCAGGGGGTGGTGAGAGGGGGCAGCCCTTCGCTGCTAGGCTATGTTGCCTTCAGGGCCCCTTGGGCCGGAGCTTGGGGTCAGTCAGGGGCAGGGCTCGCTCTAGCCTCTCTTCCCCCACCAGGAGGGGCTTTGAGGCTATCTCCCTCCCCACTGGCCCCCAGTTCTCAAGTACCCAGCCCGCTGGTCAAGCTGTTCTCACAAAGCCACCTAAGAGCATGCGTGACCCAAGGCCTAGGAGGGTCGTGTCTCCACAGTCACATGCAGCTTGGGGGCACCGGCTACCCTGGCCCAAGCCCACAGAAGCCATCCCTCTCACCCAGGGTTTCAGACCCGCCCAGCCCCAGCCCCCACCCCTCTTGGCCATGGCCTGTTGGGAGACCGTGGGCTCTTCAGCCCTAGACCTGGATCCAAGCCCGAGATGCAAGGGAGGTCTGGGCCTGTGCAGGTGGGGCTTGGGGGGTTGGGGCGTAGATGGGGGTCGGGGGAGGAGTTTGACAGTGAACCAACCGGTCAGACAAAGTGAGGTCTCTTTGGACCTTCCCATACCCCAGCCCTCCTCCCTAATCCTGGTGGCCCTTTCAGCCATACCCCTTAACTCCTGCCCTACACACCACCCAATGGCCTCTGTTCTTAACTTGTGCCCAGCAGGTAGAGGGTTGGCCTGGACAACCTCATGGATCCCTCCGCCTTGAGAGAGGAGATCCGCTGTGCCAAGGCCCCCTGCCCCATGCAGTGTGTCCCCTGTGCTCCTGAGAATGGCCTTTCTGGAAGAGTTGCTGGTAGAGGGCAGAGCCCACTAACAGGTGGGACAGACAGCACTTCAAGCACTGCTACCCCCAGGGACAAGCTCACAGAGGGCTGGGGGCAAGGCAGGCAGCCTCAGGACCTGACCTCTCTCCCAGCTCTGCTGCACTGGCCCAGACTTTCCCTCTCTGGCCTTGTTCGCTCACTCACTGCAAGGTCACCTCTCCTTCCCTTCCTCCCTCCCTGAAACTGTCTTGCCTGCCCACTGCAACGCTGACCCCTGCAGGCCTGCCGAGGCCCTGCCCGGCCTGGGGCCTGGGTCGAAGGGACACAGGGAGGCCTGGCCAGGGCAGCTTCAGGATGAACACAGGAGGAGGGTTGAGGGCGGGGAGAGGGCCGCCTGCCTCAGGGAGGGGACAGAGAGGAAGCTGCAGGCATGGCAGCTTGGGGGAGGCTGGACAGAGTCTGGAGCAGAAGCCAAGGGGGGGTGTATGGGAGGGGGGCTGGTCTTCGTTCTTCACTGGGCTCTGGCTTTTTCCCACAGTCCCTTGCTTAAGCTGAGCTAGATCCCAGAAGGGGCCAGGGGCCCGAGTGGGTAGGGAACTGTGGACAGGGTCTTAGCCAGCAGGCTGAGCCCTGTGGAGACCAGGGTGAGTGGGCTGAGGGAAGGAGTACGTCAGGGACACTCTGGAACCGGCCTGGAACACGGGGGGACACTCTGGAACCGGCCTGGAACACGGGAGAGCAGAGCACAGGAGAGGGAAAACCGTAAAAAAACCCGATTGGGCCACAGGTGTTCCCTGGGAGCGGGATGAGGAGATCAGAACAGACAAGGCACCGGCCCCTGGGGGACCAGAAAGGGGGGGCCTGAATCACACAGGCATTAGTTTGCATATCTCACTCCTACCAGGTGCCAGCCAAAGGGGAGGTGGGGGACAGAAATGGGGGGCACATAGCCCTGCCTGGGGGAGCAGAGTCTAGGGGGCCTGAGGGGAGCTGGGGTTGGAAGGAATGCCTAGTCTGGCCTGGAGCTGTAGGGATTCTAGGAGGTGGGCGGGGATGCCGGGGGGCTGGGGTACAGAGGCCAGATTGATGATTCTGGACCCTCAGAGAGCCCCAGAGGACCCAGGATCAAAAGCAGACTCTGCCCTCTCCAGCCTATTTCTGACCCCATTCAGTCCAGGGGCCACACCAGAGGGAAGTGAACCCCAGGCCCAGTCTGTTCCGGGTCGGGTTGGTCAGTGCTGCCCTGCCCCTGCCCCTGCCCCTGGCACTGGTGGGCCCTGCAACCGCAACAGGGCAAGACAGGTTTCCACCCCATAGGGAGGCCTGTTGGGGAGGAGGGCGGAAGAGGGAGACGCCCCATAGGGGCTGCCAGGATGCCAGGGGCAGCACTGGGTTGCAGGCCCTTTGCCCAGAAGATGCCAAGCATGTCAAGTTGGCCTCCATGGAGAGGGCAGAGGTGCTCCGAGGAGCAGTGATGTCATGGTGCCCAGGCGTGGGAGGAAAGGGGGGGGAGGGAGAGGGGATGAGGGCAGGGACCCAGGCCACTGGGCTAAGAGGAAAGGGGAGGCTGCCAGCCTGGCAGGGCAGGGGTAAAGGGAGTGTCCTCACTGCATCTCCCCTTCCAACCTCGTACCCGAGAGCTGGCCTCTGAACTAAGCGCTTGGTTTCTGAGAGGGTGATCCCGGCCAGAGACTGCCTCTGCCCTGGGTCCGAGCGCTGGAAGGTGGCCGCCTCGTGAGGGAAGGTGCCAGGGTTGGTGACCTGGGTTCAGGCAGAGGAAGGGAGGGGTCTCCAAGAGCCATGTCCCTTCAGCCATCACCTAGAGGACATTCATGGATGGGCAAGAGGTTCCAGAGAGGGAGACCGAGTCTCTCTCACCCTTATCCCCAAGCGCTGAGTGAGTGCAGTGCCTGGCACCAGTAGGTCCTCCTCAGTGGACTCAGAAGGCGGTGATGATTTGATGGGGGTGAGGGTCCGGCTCCTCAGGAGGCAGGGACAGGCTGAGGCTGCCCCTAGAGGGAGAACAAATGTGGGGCTGGGGCAAGAGTGGACAAAGCTGGTGTCCCCTGGACTGCCCTCAAAATCCTTGGGGGCTCAAGGTCCCTTCTGCAGAGGGCCTTAGAGCTGTCCCTTCCCGGAGCACCCCCAACCCTGGGAGGTCAGCAGCAGTAAGCCTGGAGGCCCTTCATTTGGGAGCAAGTTCTCAGCCTGGGGTACCTTGTTTTAGCATCAGAGAGAAAACCAGAAGCAGAGACCCCGCTGCCAGAGCTGGCAGACTGGGGGGGGGGGTGCTGGGTCTGGGGTGGGGTACCCCAGGTGGGAGCTGAGACAGCCTGAGCAGGAGCTGCAGGGGACCTGCCTACAGGTGGGCACTGTGTGAGGAGGCGTCAGGAGCCAAGGAGGAAATGGCAGAGCAATTTCCAGAGGAAGGAGGAAAGATTCCTGGCCAGGGCTTGGAGGATAGCAAGCAGACAGTGGGCTCCCAGGCCACTCCCCGGCTCCCTCGGGAGAGATGCAAAGGAGCCGGCCCCTCCCCCTCCCTCCCCCGACAGGACTGGAGTGAGTTTGGGGATCTTTGCTTTCCCCCTACCCAAACCCAGGAGCACATTCCCCTGGCACCCCCGTTCTCACCAATCTCTGCTCTCTTTCCCTTCAGGTACTCCTGTCCCCCCCCCCCCCCCCCGCCAACCCCGCGTCAACGCTCCTGCCGTTCCCCACCCTCCCTCCCTCTCCGGAGGCCCCCTCCCCTGCTGCTGCTGCACCAGATTCCCACTTGCCCCTTGGCACCCTCTCAATTCACAGTTGGCACCGCCGATGTCACTCTGCTCCCCGGTGCCCACAACCTTGGCCCAAAGCTGCCTGGGATCCTTGCCCTGGGGTCCCGCAGCGCTGGCACCCGTGGGCACCGGTGCTGGGGACCCGGGGGTGCCTCTGAGGGCACTGCCCGGTTCCCGCGGGGACAGTGGCTCCTCGCTCCGCCACACACGTTGTCCTTGGGCTGCTGGGGGAGGGGGGGAGGAGGTCCTTGTGGGGACACTGCGAAGCCGGCGCCGGGCATCAAGCCTGGCAGCGCCCGGACTGCGGGGGCCGGGGTCCGAGCCGCTGCCCCTCAAGCCCGCGCCCCCGGGGCTGGGATGACCCCGGGGCGGGGTTGGGGGGGGGGAGTCTGTGCGGCTCCTGTGGACAGCAGCCCCGGGCTGGGGCTCTGAGACGGCGCCGGGCGCTGCCGCCGTCCTGCCTGCCGGTGCGGGGCGCCCCAGCCCGCGCGGGGCCGCGCTTACCTGGGCTGGCCGCCTCCGGGTCCCGGTACATGGTCCCCTAGTCGCCGGCTCCCTCCGGGCTCCTCAGAGCCGCCCGCGGCCGCGCGCTGCTCCGCCGCCGCTGCAGGGCATGGGGCCGGGCGACCCCCGGGGGCGGGTCCGAGGGCGGGGGCCGCGCGGGCTGCACCGAGCCGCGGAGCCGGGGAGCGGGGGCCGCCCGCCAGCCCTCCCGCCCGCCCGCCGAGCACGCTGCCGCTGCCGCTGCCGCCGAGCCGCGCCGAGCCTCCTCCCTCTGGCCTGCGCGCCGCGTGTGCGCGCCGGAGCGTGTGTGAGTGTGTACGAGGCCGTGTGAGTGTGTGTGTGTGTGTGTGTGTGTGTGAGCGCGCCCGGGGCACCGCCGGCGCCGCCCGCCCGCTGCCACTGCCACCGCGGCTGCCTGCGCCCGCTGCTGCCCGCTGCCGGCCGCGCGCCGCACTGCAGCCCTGCGCCCGCCGCCGCCCGGAGCCGCCCCGAGGGCACCAACGCCGCCCCGCGCGCCCCGCCCGCAGCCCCCGCGGGGAGGGCACGGAGCCTTCGGGTGGGCCCTGCGAGCTTGCGGGTCCTGCCGCACGGCGCGACCAGCCCGGCCGGGGCGCCTCTGACGGCCGCGGCTTCGAACCGGGCGGGGCTGGGTGGCTGGCCACCTCCTCCGAGGTGCCCTTTGACTCCGTTCCAAGAGGCGTGGAAAGCCACTCCGGGTTTTCCGCCTAATGGCGGCTGGAGGGCGTCAGCTCGGGACTCGACACCGCGGCGGTCCCGGGAAGTCGGGCTGGTGTGTGCAAAAACCAGGAGTGGATGTTTTGTCAGCGCTGAGCCTGGGTCCGTCTACTCTGGCCGTCTCCCCGAATTTGAACACAGCTGCCGCAGAAAGGACCAGGATCGCCACCCTCAGTGGGGGACGAGGCCTAGCGACCCTCTTCACTTAACCCAGCCGCAGACCTTTCGGCCTCTGTTCCTCCCTCTCCTGCATCGCTCCTCCACTCCAGCCCCCTTTCCTTTCCTTGACCCCAGCACTTCAGTGGGTAAGAAAGAAATCCCTCCTTCTTCCAACCCTGGGGCTCCCTTGGCTCTCTCAGCGCCTCTGGCAGGTCCGCACAGCCCAAATCAGGTGAACCCTAGAATTGGAAATGTTTGATTCTGGGGCAGGGAGGAGAAATTCTCCCCCCAATTTTCAAAGCCTGGAACTGAATGAACTCTTGGTGGTTTGAGGTACGGAGACCTCCCAGCACACACCTACGTACCTAGTCCACTACACCACCACCTCCCTCTACACACACATACACCAGCACACAAACACAAGAGATACGAACACTGCGGCAGTACTCCTGCTCCGCAAGGGGCCTGCCCCTACCCTAAACTGAAAGGGGTAGGCAGGAGGGCAAAACTCCTAGCCCCGCTGCAGCATCCTGCCCTCCCCTCCACTGAGAATGAAGTTGGAAGGTGAGCCAGGCTTTGTAAAATCAAGGATTCCTAATCCCACCCGGAGAAATCCACTTAACTGACTGTACGGCACAGCTCACACCCAACCACACCTCCATCTTCCCCCAACACGGGAGGCAGCCAGCACCCACAGCCTCTGTCTCAAGTCTCCCCCAATACTCACTCACACACACACCCCATACTCTTGAACTTGCATGGAGCCTATTACATGCGCGCGCACACACACACACACACACACACACTCGTGCGCAGGCACACACTCACCTCCACCCACGGCTTTTCGGTTGAGAAACAGATAAGGAAATTCCCCCAAGCAAACCACCATAAAGAGTGTTCCGGTGGAGAACAGATTTCCTTGGATTGAACGTTCTAATTAAAAATGGAAGGAAGAAAAAAAAAAAAAAAGGCAGTCATAGATTTCAGCCCATAATTAGTCCTTGGCCAGAAATCTCAGCCCTCACCCCTTGGTGAAAGGCTATTATGTTTTGTATACCCTGCAGACAGCCCCACCCATATGCAGCCAAGAATCTAGGATATATCCATATACCGCTTTTTGGCAAACCCCAGGAAGCCAAGCCAAAAGGCTGGGACTCCAGGGTCTCCAATCTTGACTTCTTTCTGCTCCCATCCCCAGTTCCCTCTCTCAGTGCCCAGCTAGTAAAGACCAAATAGTCCGCCCCTTCCCACCCCTACCTCATGTCATCAGTGGGCTCCACACAGAAAGGTTCCCTGCTCAGGAATCTCCCCATCTATCAACCTGAGAGTCCAGATTGGGACAGCAGAATTCATCATGGCAACTCAACAGATCTTTATAAGCATTTAGAATCATGGAGTTTTTAGAGTTGGTGGGGAGAGGACCTCTGAGAGGCCACCACTGGGGTGACAGATGGTGAAGACAAGGCCTCTATAGGGGGAAAGAACTGGCTAGGGAGCTCCCAGAGCTAGCAGCACAGGGAGCTGGCAAGAGAATCGGGAGGAGACCCTTGGTCCTGGCTCCAGCCTTTTGCCAACCACTCTGAGATTCATGAGCAGACTCAGTGCTCTCCCCCATCTGAGAGCTTACAGCCTGTCCCTTTCAAACATAAAAATCCCAAACTCACTCACTCCCAGGAGGCAGTAGACAGTCATTGTTCCAGAACGTCAGAGATGGACAGTCCCTCAGACATACTAGATAAATCCCATGAGATGTTGCTGTGGAGACCGAGGCTCTGGGGCATTGGGAACCTCAGTGGGTTTTACTTCCTGCCTGCATCGACACGGGAAAAGGTTTGAAGACACCCTTTCTCTGGGTCTCATTCACTTCAGTCTAGGGGATGCAGAATCATTGGGAAGAGAAAAGAATACAGATTTACGTGGCCCTGCCATTCATAGCTGTGTGACCCCAGGCAGATTACTTGACACTCCTGGGCCTCGGTCCTCATCCATACCATGGAGATAAAAATACCACCTGTTGACTATTATAAAGAGTAAGCGAGATGATACCAGTAAGGCACTTAAAATGATACTTGGAACATAGAACTTATTCCTGATGGATCTCGAACCTACTCCTCGTTACCATGTTTTGCCTCTCAAGGAAGCTCTTCTAGACGTCTGACCTCGAACCATTCAGCTGCATTTGAAGGCTACTCTCTCCTGGGGGAGCATCGACAAGAGCCAAGCCCACTGTGAGTCCCTGTCTTCTGAGCACTCACAGAGGACTGGGCGCAGGCAGGAAATGAAGTGTGCGGAAAGTGAGCAGGTCCTCTGAGAAAAGAGATCAGAGGGTGGGAATAACCCTAGTTCTGACTACAGGTCGTGGCCCTCTAAGGTGAGGGCCTGGGCCTTTGGCGCTCTGCCCCTCCCCTTCCCATCCTCCCCCCCCCCAACCCCCCTCCACCCCGTAGAGGGGGGCCCAGAGAAAGCTTCTCATTCTGTGACACTGCCAGCTTCTTTGTCCTGGGTTCCGTGATGTGGCAGGAAATGCTGGTAGCACCTGGCTCCCCAAGGAATGCCCCACTGAATACTGTGGGCCCCTCAGGCCTATTTCCGATCTGGTATGGTCATCAGGGCCCAGGTGTCCTGGGTCGGCTTCTGGAGGAACAGAGGAGGGAGAGACGGACGTTCTGTCCCTCTGGAGCAGAGACCAGGCCCGCACTCTCCTAAACAGGGCCCCTGAGGCTGCCGGGCTCTGTTGCTAGGCCACGGCTGGAGGCAGGGCTCCTGGGTTCCCCTCAGCCTCTACCTGGCATGGTCTCCAATGCTGCTGTCTCCCCACAGCTCCTGTACCCCCTACCCTGCCCCCCTCGCCACGGGCTGAATTATTAATAAAAATGATGAAGAAGCTGTTTGTGCAGCTAACAAGACAGAGCAAACACACCTCTCTCCTTATCACCATCCGTGTGGTGAGAGGCTCAGGCTGAGCATTTGCTGGATCCAGGAGGGACAGGCGGAGACCAGCCGGAAGACAGCTGTGAAGGGCAACAGCAGGTAGAAGCATAACATGAACACCTCCCCAGGAAGGACAGAACAACGAAGTTCTAGAAGGCAGCTCTGGCCATTCCTAAGCCCACCTCGTCCCAATGGAGACTGAGTCAATGCTTGCAGATCGATCACCTCTTGTCCCCAGACCCAGGGACCACTGAATCTCAGAGGCTTACCCAAGGCCTCGGCATGCGTGTCACACTTCTGCTGACCCCCACTTTGAAGACCTGATACTAAAGAGGCATCCAGCATCCAGGGAAGAATCCTAGACTTAAACTCTGGTCTTGCCTCTGCCACCATCTGGCTGTTTGGCTTTGGCCAGTGACTTGACATCTCTGGGACTCAGTTTTCTCATCCATAAAATAGGACGGTAATGGCACCACGTGGGGATGGAGAATATACTGGGGAGATAGCAAGGCAAGGGCTGGGTCTCTTTCTTGGCTCCCTTGCACCAAGGCACCTGACACCTCCCGGGCACCAAGGTCTCTGCCCCAAGCTGACCTTCCATAGCCCTGGGTCCCCATTCTGTATCCTCAGGTCATGCTTCAGGGCCAGAAGCCCCTTCTGCACTCCCAACCCCACTCACATCCTTTCTCCCTGAAACCTCCTCTCTCTCTGTTGTCACCCTTGCCACCCACTCCTCCCTCATGTGCTTGGCTCAGCCCCTCAAACTCCAAAAGATGAAAGCTGGTGCCCCTTCTCCTTGCCAGCTGCTGTGTGGGATAGCCCCAACCTCAGTCAGATTCTTGGCCTTAGGCCTCTGTTTTCAGATACCCCCTACCTCTCAGTCTTGGGCAGTTCTGGGACCCTGACATAGGTTGAGAGCCATGGGATCCAGTGAGATGCCCTTATCAGGATGTACTGTAGAAGCACCTTGGCTTGCCAATTACAAGCTGAGTGACCTGGGGTAAATCGCTCGATTCTTCTGAGCCTTAGTTTACCAGTCTATACTACAAGGATATTGGTTTTTAATCTCGATTCCGCCTTGATTCGCCTTTGGGAATCTAATGAACTCCATGGACCTCCCCCTCCCTAGAAAAATTCATATTCAAATATAGACACAATATTTTGCCCATAATTGGGTGGGAGGGGGTCCTACAGGTTTCAGATTAA